CATCGAAGTACTTCTTCTTTCAACTTGTCGTAAGGAGAGTCTGTGCTGGGCTGAACGATGCATTGTCGAACCTGTTCGGCGATTTCGTCTGGTAGTACTGTACTCAATATGGCGAATTTAGCCGTCTGTGACGTGAGCTTATTGGCAGTGAAATAATGTTCCAGTCGTGCAAACCAAAGATGAGGGTCTTTGGGCCTAAAAACTGGTACAGCGAGAGAAATAGTACTAACAGATCCCAGCTCTAAGTTATCAGAGGTACTGGAAGACATGATACAATTCGTAGAAAAATGGTTTAACAGTAACAAAATAGCAAAAATTATGCACACCAGGAATATGGTAAAACTGCTGTACACATATATTCTAGTATTTCTTCGTTCTTATTAATGTGCGCAGACGTTGTGGCCACTCGGCGCCCACAACGTAAATCAAAAAGCACTTGCGAAGAGTATGAATGTATATTATAGCAGTAGTCAAATTCGAAATTGTGTCAAGGTAATGTTCAACAGTAAATTGACAAATATTTGCGAAGTACATATAAAATCGGTCTGTATACACACATAATACGAGTATGCAAATTAGGTTAAAAAAGCATGTTTACAGTTGGTATAGGGGTACTACAGTTTTAATGGAATGTAATGAGGATCAAGTAAAGACGTTATTAAAAAATGAATGAGATAAGACATTGTGAAGTGGTATTTTATTATCTGACAATGGATAGCAAGTTAATTTATAAGATGCCCCATAATTCTGTGCAGATCCCGCGTGGTCACGTCTTAACAATAAGCTGAGCGAATAACATATATTTAAAGGTAGAAGCATGATCTGTCAAGGCGTTCATTATTATCTTTTTCAAGATAAAGATCTATGTCCTCATAAAAATCAGAAATATCTCGAGCCTTCAAATTGCATATTGCTGTTCCTGCAGAAAGGGGTGATTCACCTTATTGACCACCACCATATCTACTGATCAGCTAGCACCACCCTCCCTCCTTGTCTGTGAATGTTTTCTGTAGGACCTTAAACAAGAATATTAGGTTTATTATAAGTCGTCTCATCCAAAGTGGGTCAAGATCTAGAATCATGAATCATAGCCAAGTAGTTTGGACGTGAAATATTGTTGAATACTTTCTATCCCTAGCTTGTCACATATGCGAGCGCTACTAGTTATAAATGGACAGTATTCTACTAGTGGCCTTACACATGTTTTGTATAGAGTGAGCTCGGCTTCATTGTGGTGAAAGTTCTTGAGTATGCATTCTAAGAGCATCCTCAACTTTCGAGTATGTAATGCCACTTGCTCAGAGAATGTTAGGTCACTAGTTTTCCTCAGGCCTAAGTCAACGACACTTCAGAGTCTGGGTCTATCGGCGGATTGAAGAATTAATTTTGTGTCGATTGAGGGTGCGCTGAAGCAGATCCGACAATATTTGTTGAAGCTGAATTGCAGATTTCATAGAGGTGACCAGGTAGTCACTTTATCTAATTCATTCTCCAAAATGTTCTGGAAGTACCCTACGTCATCACATTGGAATGTGTAAGCTACTTTTATGTCATCTGCAAAGATGAATGGTTTCCCGTGTGAGAAACAAATGCATATGTCGTTGAAATAAAGTGTAAATAGGAGGGGCCCAATGACGCTAGATTGAACTACAACAGTAGTGTTTGGGCTAGGTTAGGAAGATACACAACCAAGTATAACAATTCAGGAGCTGTTATTAAGGAATGATTTAGGCCATCCCAATTGTGAGTCACGTATTCCTAAGGAGTTCAGACTATCTGTTAGCAGTAAACGGTGGACGCTGTCAAATTCTGTAGAAATGTCGAAGCAGACGACAAGTACTAATTGTCGTCTATCACGAGGACCGGTTACAAAATTAAAGAAGCCTTGGCATGATCTGGATTTTAGGAATACGTGCTGGTTCGGAATTACAGTATTTCAACTAAGCACATGCTTGAGTATGTTATCTTTAACTAGTCTCTCCATAATTCCAGATGCTCTAGGTGTGATATTGATCGGCCTGTAGTTGTTGACTTCCGTTTTCGAACCGCGTTTGTGTTTGGGTGTAATAAATCTCGTTTTCCGTTTATCCGGGTAAGTTTGAGTTTCTGAGTTCATTGTGAAGATTTTTAGTAGTAGTATGGAAATGTCAGAACCACCATACTTATAGAAGTACAGCGATATACCGTCAGTGCCAAAACCTTTAGAGTTTTTGAGAGTTCTAATGGCTTGATCAGTGTTGGCATAAGTGAACTCAACAGTATTAATTTGTTTTGGGGTGGGTAAATGTGGAAGTTGCACCATATTAGAAGCCTGCATACCGAGTAATGGGATTGTAGGTTTAAGGTAGTTAGCCGCAAATGTTTTCTTGAATAATCCACAGATTTCTGCAGAGTCATTTCATAGCCTACTTTTGTCGATGAGGAGAGAAATGCTGTGGTTTTCGCGATTCAATCGCTTCTTTGGGATTTATGTGAGATCATAAACCCCATCAGGGCTGACTAGTGCGGTGCGTTATTCGTTCCACATGCACAAACCTTGAGCTTGTGAGATAGGGCTAAGAGCATTAAGTGCTGACCCTAATGTGCCGAATTCGTGGTGCTTGAAGAAAATTGTCGAGAGTCTCTTCAGTTTTCTACGATCCCTACGTTTTATAAACAACTTTCTATGTAGGGAAACACTTGTTGTTTGGAGTGAAATGACAGTATATCAGCCTCTGTTTGAGTTCCGGTAGAAAATGCTCAGAGAACACCACAGGTCATCAGTAGTGAAGAATTCGCCTCATTAAGAGGATCATTACTCTGTTTCACACAAGTTTCGATCTTATTCTAATGTCTGATCAATTTTTACTCATGTATATAAACGAAGTAGGAAAGTTACGTGAGTACCTTGATATGGTTGTGAGCAATAAATTGTGCTCAAAACATCATCAGTAAATATTACTGTATAACACTGTGACTTTATCAAAATGAGATTTTATCCACAATTGGAATTATCTTCTACCTCAGTGCCCAAGTTTATCCCTTTGTTGAATGTCCAGATCGCAAAGGCACAATCCTTCGCGTTTCTCCCTGGTTGAAAGTGCATAGTAATCCGTTTTACCAACGATGACCTCAGACACATTCAATAAGCGAGTAATTATAACACCTCTACTGTCCACCTCCAAACTGCCTCATCCTTAACTTGGACTAGGAATCACTGAACGTCACTGGAGAACTCCGAGATTGTGTGTTGCGAGCAATACTCATCCAAAGGAACAGGGCTGGAGACCAACCGGAAATTTCAATGGTTTATGGTGGAGAAACAGAAATTAAAATCCACAGGAGATCAGAAACTGACAAAACAGTTAGATCAAAAACGTAAATGTCTAGATCACAAGGAATAGTGAACCTAGCGCTGGTCACAGAAGGCTAATCAGTCCCTCAGAATGCTATGTGCGACATCCGACACGAGAATGCGAGAAAACTGATTGACAACACGAAGACTATCTTTTTCTCCGCCGAAAACGAACCATTACAACTGGACTACAGACCACAGAGTCTCTAAATATCGCCCCTCTAACCTTGACCACGCGGTGATAAAGTCGAGTATCTTCGAACCCGCAAATCGTTATCTCAAGGTATGCATGGCTTTCATGACACCCAAAGACTCTTGAAAACAGAGACCAGACTGTTACTCGCCGGTCTCGGCCGACTTCCCTTCTTAGTGACTCCAATCATTACTCACCATTTCTATATTTTCATGTTGTGATGGAATGTCTGCTTTCTCCTGCCATTAATTGGTGGAATACATATGGCTCACGGTGACTAAGCCTGTCCTTACTCGGCCCTTCCAATAGTACATGTTCACTATATCTCAAGAGTGCCTCTTAGTAGTATGCTATGAATATAGGTAAGTCATCCTACATGAAGAAAGGTGAGCACCTGATAGGATTCACATGTACGCCAATATAGCCACATTGGGTAGGTTTCATACGTTGAGTCTAGCTGCGAATTGCATCCTATGAAACAGTTCAAGACTGACTACTGCCGTAATCAACGTTTACTACAGATTACTGATAACGTGTTGGTAGGCACAGAGTTCACTGTAAACTAAACTGTATATATTTTACGTCATGTCTTCATAAGAAAACGAAGTTTTTGCCACGAAAATAGTAGGTATGGATTCTGGGGAAACTTAAGGAAGTAAGTCCAGTGCATATGCTACATTAATGGTACGCCACGAAACCCCAACAAGTTGGATAGTGAATAATCCGAAGTAAGCGAAGATTCAGAAGTTCTCCTTGAATAGTACTCTGTCTGACTCCTATGAGGTGCGTGTCAGCCTTATTATTTTATCGTGAATCTTAATGCCAAAACGCTGCGATTCCACCAAAACTCACAGTTTAAGAACGGAAAGGCAAGTGTGAAATGATAAAAGCGAATATTATCAGGAGAGGTGAATTTGCAAAAGTGCGCAATAACTGCGGAGTACATGTGACCAACAAGCCGTCAGCAAGGGAACAGAAAATATTTAACCGGCAAAATAAATTTAATCACAATGGTGGATATATCCATCGTAAGAGCAGCCCAACGTTCCAATCATTTTCTGAGAAACTAACAGGTGAACTTTCTGCAAATGTGGATTTAATTGCTAAAACATACTCAATTTTCGTTCCGAGTTGTAGCTAAAAACTAGTAGAAGCCTCCTACACGGTTTTAATTTTCCGGGACTCTTCTATCGGATGTAATGTTAGGACAGAAATACACCTGGACTGCGGATAATACGGCCAATAATGTTGAAGTATCTTGCTCTGGAGATTAGCTGTGTAAGTCGCTTAGTTTCCACTTCACGAAAATCCCCCCTGAAGCTTGGGAATTTACAGTTCAGACATTTGAAAATTGTAGGCTTTCCTATTTTACTAACTTTTCAACTGGAATCTCCATGAATGATGAATTTGTTTGTTACCCTCAAGACTTTAACCTTGACAGCGCTAATGTAAAGTGCGGATAGTTTGTCACTAATGGATGATGCAACATCCTCACAAGAAGAAGTCAAGAAAACTTTGCCTCCTAAGCAAACTTTTCTCTCTTTATCGTGGGATTACTTTAAATTTCTGCTGACCTGTGCATCTATTTATGGAGTGGGGTACCTCCGACTTAGTGCTAGCTGGGTATTACTGGGGTCATTGGGCTACTTCGTAATACAGCACGCTAAAAATAAGAACTCGAAGTTGGTCAGTTCATTAAAAGCGATTGGAGAAGATGAAAAAGCATTCATCATTCAAAATTTTTCTGTCAGGGACCTTCCATCATGGGTAGGCTTATAACAGTCGGCATTTCATGCAATCCACTTTAAGGTTTACTTTCCAGATGTTGAACGAGCTGAGTGGCTTAACAAGGTAAGAATGTAAAGCTTTTTATTTTGGAAGGTGATTAAACGGATGTGGCCGGCGATCAGTGAATATGCAAGGGACATCGTCATCCAAAATATTGTACCTATTGTTTCTCAGAATTTACCAGCTGCATTGACGCCTTTCAGTTTTGCGACTATTGATTTGGGGGACACCGTAAATTCGCCTCTTCCTTATTTCACATTCTAGCCTCCTCGAGTCGGCGGCATTAAGGTCTATATGAATGAAAATATCCGTAAGGATGAAATAGTTCTTGACTTGGATCTTATGTAAGTTTCACTATTCCTAATTTTCGTACAGGTTGTACAGTGATGCGAGAATAAAGGTAAACCTGGGGAAAGTCAAGGCAGGTGTAAAAGAATTTGAGGTACATTTAAATCAGTTGTCTATACTTGAGTGTTTTGGTCATTCTGTATTATCGATTCTCATCTTTTTGCCACTGTAAAATGTGTGCAGAATTGAATTATTTTGCCATGTTCATGTATGTTATAATGTTGTGGTGACTCAGTGAATAATTTCTTCAATTCAATGAATAGTAATGCTTGTCGTTCCCTTTCCCAGGGAAGAAGTATGTGATTAGCTAAATGGGTTAAGTGTCTGCAAGCACTTAGTGTAACTTAACTGGAATTGACATGTTAGTTAGCTAGTTAGTTGAAATTGAAACTCTTAGTACTGGGCTATATGTTACACTAGCCATGTGAGGACTGATGATACTGTTCAGTTTCCCAGACTGGATTAGGTGGGGCTGGATTTGCACCTGGAACCCATTGTTTGGAAGTCGAATGGTCAAGCCAATTAGCTACATTTCCACAATTAAGATGTACATTCATCGAGTGTCATTTGCGAGAGATTTAATCAAATGGAAATAAATTATGCAGGAATTCAGTAGAAATATCTCGTGAACATTTGGTGACTACTGTACTGTTATTACACTTTCGGTCTTGTTATATATCCAAAAATAGCGCACATTACAGAAACCTGGGAGTTTATTGTAAGATCTTTCATCTATTCGTTTAAGTTTGCTGGTTATTTTCTTTTATTTTGGAATTCTGGAAATCTGTTACTTTTCTGGTACAACGGGCTTCAAAGGATGGCTTATACCTTCCATACACCGACAAATGTGATCTAAAACATAGTGGACATATCCTTTGTTGGGTGTCTTACTAGTGGTTGTATCTTATATTATTATTATTATTATTATCAGTATCATGAGTACCTGTTCACTGCGTGTTTTGAAAAGGCATTACACTCCTTTCTTCTATTTCATGGTGTCCTTCTACGTATTTCTTCACGAAGTCTTTTAAATTTCGGACTTCATTTGCTGATATGGTTTTTTCTGTTTCTTTTTCTCCCCGTTGTAGTTGACTTGTGAAGTGATGTTGAACTATTATGACAGCTTGCACTCTTTTTGACTGTTGTTTAAGGGTTTCGTGCTCCTAATAAGGGACGGCATGATATGTCGGTGCTGATTCATGGCGTTGGTGTTCATCAATTATAAATTGTGAGATTCTAGACATCATTCGGTCTGCCGTACGAATAAGTGGAACTTCAATAACTTCAAAGTGATAATAGCAGTATTCAAGAGTTTAGGTTTATTTTTGGTTCTAGACGACATGGAATAAGGATCAAATAGAATCGAAATAAGTAGTACGATTGTACTTCCAACACATGCATGGGACATTTAGTACATGCTTACACTTTAGTCCTTTCTCATATTCATCCAACCTTTACATTTCTGGCATAGTCATCTCACTGAATCGTCATATCTTCCACTATTTGTGATACGGCCTTTGAGAAAATAGAATTGATCTGCAGGCAATTTTCCTTAGAGTGACTAAGGGATCTTCTCTGTATGACATATGACAGTTTGGCGAATAGAAGTGTAAGGGGTAGAATACTATCGTATGCAGGATACACAGCACATTGAATACTTATGACGTATATCCTTCGGCATAACGTTAGTTCAAATGAGAATTTTTACATTTAAAGGTGTTAAAACGACTATTCCGATGATTTTGTTGAGACCCTATGGAATTCCTACGTTTCATCCGCGTTCAACACAAGGACTATCATACATACATTCCAATTTAAAGATAGAAATTTCCATGCATGTGACGAGCGCCTGAAGATTAAGAAGTAATCAGCCACTTATCGCAAAACATCTCTAACAATGCTATATTCTACTTGTCTCAGTTATCTGCGTCGGTGGCTCAGCGGTTATGACTCTCGCCGATCATGCACATTGTTCGGGGTTCGATCCCCGGCCTACGCACACCTGATATCTATGGTCGGCCTGCAAAATTGTGGCTACCGATGTCACATGCTGAAAATTCCATACTTGTATCAAAAATACGGTGTGGAATCAAGCTGTAATTTAAAAAAATGATGACGGATCACAGATCCATGAATGATTGTTGATTTTTTGAAGTATTTATCAGAGTGGGTTTCCGTTCGACACTCAGTGTCTAAAAAATCTCGATATTTACGTTCACTCCAAGCTGACCACACGTTCACAATTTAGGATTTTTGTTGAAGTAAATAATATTTTAAGCTTTTCACCCTTGTTTTACTGTCAGTTAAAAGTTGTATATTAAGTTACGTACATCATGAGATGGTGCAGATTAATGTGATGTATTAGTGTCGTAATTACCGATGCTTTTGGAGTTTACTGTTTTATATAATGTGCTCACTTTTTATTCTTCGTCTGTTTTTCCCTCCCTGAATACCAGTTGCGTGGTACACTACGTGTAGTTATGAAGCCACTGGTCCCGAAAGTTCCGTTTGCTGGTGCAGTCACAGTTTGTTTTCTCGACAGTCCAGTGAGTATGCTTTTTTAATCCTCTTTAGTTGAAACGTTGGTACACTAGTCCGAGTATTTCGCATTCTTCGTATTATGTTGTTAAATGTGGACATTTAGACGTTACCGATCGACATCTTTAGAATCTTGGATTTGTATATTTATAATACATTAAATGTGTTTCTGATTCAAGTTAGATTAGTCTGAGTTTTTGGTATGTATGGGAAGAATAGAAGTACCAGAATGGTGAACAAAAACGCATTGAAAATCACACCATCTTCTCCTGCATGCATTTCGAGTGAAGTACTGGAACCTCGGGACTGGTAACATACATTATGAAATTAGTTAGAAAAAACCTGTGTTTTAGAAGTTAATTTAAAACTACTTAGAGAGTATCAACCACAGAATGTCGATTTCATAGAAGGTGAGTTCTCGTATAAAAGATGATTGGGTATGGCCTGTCGATCCTCTTCTTATCAAAATATTTTAATATCTCCAGTACTTCATGCCCTTATTTAAGTGTAAGTGATTTGAAATATTGATCAAGGAAAGGTTTTGAAGTCAGACAAAATGAGTCATAATTAAAACTGAGATAATCACTGGTTATCTGAAGAAGGAGTTACTTAGTCTTTGGGTATATGTGTGTGTGCTGTATAGTTTACTGAACTCTGTCAAGGTTTGTGAGCGTACTTATCAGTCGAAGTGCTAAAATGACCTGGTGGTCAACCAAGGACCGGATGTTTCATACATACGAGTGCTGTATATGTTTATTAATCCGAGTCATGTGTCAGTTCTTAACATGTGTCATTACCTATTCGGAAACCTTAATTATTATATATTCCTTCATTTAAAATAGGTATAAATTGATGTTTCGTTAAATTATTGGTCACTAAAATGCATTTCCTTGATTTATCTCTTTTTAGTACATCAACTTCTCGTTAACAGACATGGGGAATATCCTTGGACTTCCTGGGCTACAGTAAGTGTTTTTACTGTTAAACTTGTCTAATGTACTGAACTCTTGAAAAAACATGATAATCGTTTTACTTTTCAGTAATAATCTTGGATATATATATATATATATATATATATATATATATATAGTATTGCAAAGTTAGCATTCAATAAACAAAAGGAAAACACTCATTTTTTGCATTTGATGATGAATATAGGTCATACAAGAAAATTTCATTAGGATAGAGGTTTAAACTTAACTGTGGTAACAGATATAAAGGGTCTGTTAAGTGTCTAAGTTATACAGCAAACTGCAATTTTCATCTTTGTTTATTATGCCATGTATCTCGTTTTTGAAGCATCACTGCTTTAAATAAAGAAATGATGACCAGTGTGTGTGTGTGTGTGTGTGTGTTTATTGATGTCACGGAACCTTCAGTGTAGAATGTAGGTGTTAAATCTTGCTTTCGCTTTTAATATCAAGGTCGATTACATTATTATATATCATAATTGTTTCCTTTAGTTCCCAAAGGAACATAGGGCTTCAGCCGCACGTCTCCATTGCGTTCGGTTCTCTGCCAACATTTTCACCTGTTTCCACGCCTGCCCACATGCTTTCATCTCCTCTTCACATGACCTCCTCCATGTCACTCTTGGACGGCCAACTCGCTACTTCCCGTTCGGGTTCCTTACGAGAGCATGTCGTGTGATGTCACTTGATGCTTTGTTTTCCAAGAGTATGGCCAATCTACCTCCATTTCTTCTTGTCTATTTGTTGCACAATCGGTTCCTTCTGGGTTGGTTCACTCCCAGAGATCCCTGTTGCTGATATTTTCTGGCCAGCCAACTGATCTTGAGTATCGAGCTAAGACAGCTGTTGATGAAGGTGTGTAGTTTGTTCGAAGTGCTCTTTAAGACGCGCCAAGTTTCTGATTTATGAAGTAGCACTGACTTCACACTGGAGTTGAAAATCCGGATCTTATTTTCATTTTCATGCTGAGTGCTGTCGACCTCCACACAGACTTGAGAGTCATGAAAGTTTGCCTTGATTTCCAGATCCTTGCTTTGATATCCTCGTCAGTTCCGCCAGTTCCCAGATAGGTAAAGGAGGTTGTTTCTTTCAGGTTCCTCCCATTTATGCTGGCTGATTGTTGCCTGTTGTTGTTGCTGTAGCGGGTGTTGGCCAGGAATCTTCATCACCTATCTATGTTTTCTCTATGTTCACCTGAAGTCCTATCTTTGATGCTTCTGCTGATAACTTGTTGCTTTGCGCTTGCATATCTTCTAGTTTGTGGGAAATCAGACAAATATCATGCAACTAATGAAGTAGTCGTGTAGTCATATTTCGGTGACATTTTTTGAAATGTGGTATTTCCTAAGTGACTTTATTTTTAAAGCTATTCTTTCACGTTTTTCTACTTTTTTCTTCTTCAAAACTTATAGACAAACACTGAATACAGTTATTCGTAATGTTGTCAACCAGTTGGTTGTTCTTCCAAATCGTCTACCAGTTCAACTTCTCCCTGATATTGATATACAGAGTCTGAAATATCCATTACCACAAGTAAGTTTTTGTTCAGCTTAATTTTGAACCAAAAGTTCTTTACATAAATGCTATACTGCAGTGCGTAACTGTGATGATGCATAAACAAGTTATTAACTACGTAAACGTTTGTTTAGTAAGCGTCACTTAGCGAAGCTAGACTATCATGGCCGAAATCAAAGTGACCCTGAACAACCAATCAGAATTCAGATGCAAAATTAAGTCGTATAATCAATGAAAAATGCACTTAAAAGCATTGCAAACATCATTGCACACTGGATAGTTGTCTTTTATGCGATTTAAGGTTATCTGTCATTCTGTAGAAAATCTATAGAGAAATCATACCATGCTCAATAGATGCATTCATCCAGGTCACTGTAGATCATAGTACTTTGAGGTTCACTGATATTTCTGACACTGTTCCCTTAACTTATCCCTAACTCTAACCGTAATCCTAACCTTAATCTTTTAATACCATAATCCTAACTAAAAATATGGATTAATGGATAAAATATCTAGGGGATGAGTGAAGTACTGTATCTGTCCCCGCCAAATCCAGAAAGACAGTCATGATTTAATTTCCAGTGAACTCTCCCTAAGTCTTACTGGTTCTTGAAGGTTAACTCTTTGACAGATCTTGACTTTGTCTATGGTACTTTAACTTCGCCCGTCACCTCTCTCTCTTTCGAAGTCTATCATAGTACATGATGTCCAGAATGTCAATATGGACAGAAATTCGAAAACAGAAGAACTGATGGGAGCCTAAGAAGGTCGATCCACAGAAAAGCTACTTGGAATGGTCAATTAACAAGCTCCTATAGCTGGGTGCCCATTCACAACAAAAGCGGAATTTAATTAAATCACTTGCCACCCGCATCCGACGCATCTGTAGTCCCGACGTTCTGGAAACAATTAGATATTCTAAGATAAATCTTCATTCAAAATGGATACCCAATAAGATTCATTGACAAAAATATCAAAACAAGAATTCGGAGAAACGAAACTTTAATTGCACCTAAAAAGAAAAACTCTACATGAACTTGGATTTCAAGGGGAATTTAACAAGCGATATTCTCAAGAGAGCGTCGGTGGCATAGCGGTTAGGCCGCTCGCCGACCATGCATATGGTCCGGGGTTCGATCCCCGGCTGACGCACTCCTTTACCTCGCTAAGCCAGAAATAATGCTGGTTAAGAGGCAAGGTCGGGCATGAGGCTAGTAACCTCATCCTGTAAAATAAACACTGCTACAGAAACTTCAAGCCACTAGGTTGAAGCCCTATGTTCCACTGGGGAACGTGAAGGAAAAAAAATTCTCAAGAGAAGGATCACATCATCTCTGAGAAGAACATTCTTCGCAGCAATACTAAGAATAGTGTTCTCTAGGCACCCACTGATCTGCAGAAGCCTCAAGGACAAGATCCTGCATCTGACTACTTCTATGTGCATATATCAGTTCACCTGCTGCTGTGGAGCCTGGTACATCGGTCGTTTGACGCGCACCCTGTCCAACAGTCTTCAAGAACACTATCCAGCATGGTTGCGAATAGGCAATAGTGGTGCAATAAGGGGTGCGATAATTGAACACCTGGTTAACACTAATCATTCCATAGCAACAAACGCCTCCTTCAAAGTAATCTACAGAGTCAATAATAACCTATCAGAGGCAATACGGTTTCGTCTTCTGTGTATCGCTGAAGCTCTGGCCATTCACATAGAAAAACCAAAGCTGTGCATACAAAAGAGAATTATTCAACCACTTCTACTGTCATGGTAAAAACTTTGTTGGTTTTGATGACTTAATTTTGTTTGTTTGCCTGTTCTTTAATTGCTCATAATTCTTCTATTCATTTAGAACTCTTACGTAATTTCGTGTTCTCTTCTTTATTCCTATGTGTATCCTGAGTAAAACTCAACCATCAAACTATTCATATTCTTTTTTAACAACTGTTTATGACAACTCATCACCTTCGTTACTACCCTAATATCACTAACACCTAATTTTCTTGACTGATTTTGTATTACGTAACTCCATCAACCAATCTTCTCCTGTTCAGTTAAAATAACCATAACCAATTGTATTTTTGTTTGACAAACTTTATGTACACATACATACAAAATAACACATATATATTTGCGATTGTACAGCTAAGAAAATGAATTCGCCGCCGAACTACGCGTTTTGTTTTCATTAAATTCGAAATAGTAACTCACTAGTTAAAAGTTCTGTGCAATATTTACTCACTTGTATTTAGTGTGCAGTTAATTGGAAGCGCTTTTAAAATTACTGTAGTATTGTGCCCTATGAATTTTCCGCTTACACTAATAACAGGGCTACGTGTGCTCAACTTTAGGAGCTATTCATTTTTTTTATTATAGCTTGATTCCACACTGTATTTTTGGTACAAGTATGGAATTTTCATCATGGATATCGGTAGCCCAAATCTTGCAGGCCGACCATAGATATCAGGTGTGCGTCGGCAGGGGATCGAACCCCGGATCATGTGCATTGTCGGCGAGAGTCCTAACCACTGTGCCACCGATACACACATGTATCCACCGCGTGTGTGTGTGTGTTTGATTATTATTTTGTCCCCTGATGAGTACTTCAGTCGTTGTCGATTCACTGAATGATGTTTTCCTTTTCTAGATAACTTTCATTTTTTTCAGTGTTTTGAAAACTATAAGAAGGATGACCGGTTGTTAGATAATCGAAGTTTTCTGAGTATTTTATGCAACATATCAGCTGGAAAAATAGTGATCATTAATGAGTCTCAGGTAACAGATTGTTGATCTCTGACGAAATCTCAGCACGGATACAGAGGGCTAGTTTCGCATATGCCAGTTTACGCCGTCTCTGGCCTAGTAGATGTGATATCTGACTATCGACCAAAGGGCGGGTGTACTGCTCATCAGTCCGCTCCGTCCTCCTTTATGGCTGTGAGCGAGACCTGACCATTGAGAGTGGAAGACATGAAAAGATTAGCTGTCTCTGATCATAGGTGCCTCCGCTCTGTCTCCCGTGTGGTGGTATAATAAGGTGAGCAATATTGAGCTTAGGCGTCGAGTTCTAGGTAAGCAGGGGAAATCAATCGACGAGGCTGTGAAATTACATCGACTGAGATGGTTAGGACATGTATTACGTATGCCTAGTCATCGCCTTCCTCGACAACAGGAAATGTTGTCTGATATAGGGTCAGGCTGGAAAAGCGCTAGCGGCGGTCAAACCAAAACATGGCACCAGTCAATCCAATCCACAACAGTTAGTTTAAGCCAGCCAGTCACGTAGAAAGGTGTAGACTGGCTTTCTGGTTGGGGTCCTCGGGACGGTAAAATCCAATGGTTGGAAACAATTAGTGATATGGCTCAAAATCGTTCTCAATGACTTGTGCAGATGGATGCACTCCTTGTGACTTATGATTTCCAATAAATCTACATTGTTCTTCGTTATTACTCTTCCTTTGTCTCACACCTCTGCTCACTGTCTGTATTATTCATTTCTTCTACCTTCCTCTCTTGCTTTGTGTGCTACATGTGGGGAGCGTGGCGACTTGAACTGCCGCACATATGTGCAAAGTTCTATGTCGAAATCAGATAGACAGACAGCTAACCGATTTGTTGAGAATTGTAATGTAACTGAGCCTATCAACAGATGAATTTCTTCAGACCACAGATGGTTAGAAAACTTTTCCTAAGGTTTTCTAAAGAGTTCTGCATTGTTAATTTGAAATACTTCAAGAGATTGTCAAGTATGTTTGAACACAGGCGACATTGTATCGTCCTAGGTGTGAAGGTTGATGATACTTTGTCTAGTGGTTTTATTGACCTCCTCAGTGTATGTCCAATGCATCTCCATTTCCTTTGGAATATTTTGTTGAGCCATTGGTTCTCTGCCAGTTGGTCCCCAGAGATTTCTGCTGCTGATTCTTTCTGGCCAGCCAGCCATCTCATCTTCAGTATGGAGACAGAGAAGGCAGTCGTTTGTTGGAACTGTTTTCTGTGACGCTGGTGGCAAGCTTCTAACGTAACAGTAGTTCTGAGAATCTGAATTTTGCTCTCTATGCTGACTGATTTCAGATGTGTAAACTGATTACAGGATGGTAAAAGTCTACCTAACCGCTTCGAAATCCTTATTTTTGCTCCAGTTTGTAGTTGAAACGATTCCGCTACCTAGATAGATTTGTGAAGGAAGTGACCTCTTTCAAATTTATTCCGTTAATAGTGATTGGTGCTTGCTGTTGTTGGTTATCTTCATCACTTTCGTCTTCTGTATGTTTACTTGAATTCCTGTCTTCGCTGCCAGCTTCTTCTTCTTCTGCCAATTCGCTGGTTTTCACCTTTAAGTCTTCGAGTTTGTATAGCATTAGACATAAATCATCTACGAACTCTAGATCTTCTAGAGTCTTCCTATCAGTCCAACGTATTCCTGTCTTGTTGCTCCCCACAGTGTGCCGCATAATCCATAACACCACAATTAGGAATATCATCGGTGGTAGTAGACAGTCTTGTACTTCTGATATCTTCACTTCAAACGCATCGTTGGGTTTTTCGTTGTGAATCACTTGATATGTGGCATTAGCATATAGCTGTTGACTGGAGTCGATAAAGATTTGGGGCATTCTGTAGTGTTGAAGTAATTTCCAATTTACGCTATGGTCAACTCTGTTGAAGGCTTTTTCAAAGTTGATGAATGTGAGGTAGAGATTTGACTGCCACTTGCACTGGTATTTAAATGAATCTAAAGATGTCGATAATGTAATATGCTACATGGCATTTCAAAACATAGTCATATTATTGTTGTTCATTACCTAGAAATCATCAATATTATACTACCGTGCATCTTTCTGTTTATTTGTTAGAAACCTTGATCATGGTAGGTTAGGAAATACTGAACCCGAGTCATCTAGGTACTGTAGTCATAAACTTTGCCACTAAGTTAATTACGTCACTTAATCTCTCTCTCTCTCTCTCTCTGTATGATTTAATTATAAGCGTTTAAGGTTATCTGACCGATAGAAGTTGATTAGTGCAGTAAGATAATATTTTACACTCTCTACCGATTGAGTGAAATACTATTTAATGTCAACAAACTTGACGTCAATTGTCGATTTCAGAATATGTTTCATCTCGACAGACTCTTACCTCATTTTTGAGGTAATTCAGGCTTTATCTAAACACCCTTTCTGTGAACTGCTATGCCTGTAACAGCAAAAGACAAGAGAATTTGGTAACGAACCTTATTTAGTGCAGAAAAATATATCACATTTTATATATTTTATAACCAGATTAAAAATCGTTTACTTCAGCGGACAAACAATGTTCTGATTGGTTGATGACTGGCCCAAGGTTAAACAAGGCTGTCGAATGATGTTATTGCAATATCACAAAGTAAATTAAATCCAGATTTCAGGAATAAACAATTCTATTTGTTACAGGATTTCATCATGAGCTGACATTAGTTAGAGAACCATTGGAAAACCCGAGAGTATTTGAGAGCTGTTTCGTCAGCCTACTTTGGGACTCCTCAGCAGTACGCACCCACACCACGGGGTTCGAACCCATGACCTTCTGGTTACAAGGCGAGCTCGTATACCATTAAGCCACTGGGACGCGGTCCAATGACTAACCCATGAATTCTAACGTCTGCCAATTCACGACATTGCGCGACCCAGGCCAATATCTTCGGCGAATATTTGTCCTCACACCCGACCTGCTGCACCCTACTGGTCACGACTTCTCACTAGAACCCCAGGCAACTACCTACCTGAATAGGGCAAGTTGCCTAGTGAGCATCTCATTGATATTCATGGTGTACGAGCTCGCCTTGTAACCAGAAGGTCCTGGGTTCGAATCCTGGTGGGTGCGTACTGCTGAAGAGTGCCAGACTAGGACGAAACAGCTGTCCAGTACTCCCAGCTGGTTTTCCAATGGTTCTCTAACCAACTGATGTCAGCTCATGATGAAATCCTGTAACCAATTAAATCCCTACAAACGATCACTTGAGTTCTATTTATGCAGCCATTGACTTAAAACGTCGAATACAGTTTTAGCCGTTTCCTATTAGTCTGCATCGATATACTACTGATAAATCTTGTCACAAGGTATACACCACATGCCTACAGAGAATAATTATTTAGGTTGTAATATAAACATATGAGTGATTCAACAAATATTAACTGATGCCTTTTGTATACAATATGGATTACGTTATTCAATCACCAAATGGATAACATTTATGCATTTAGCATCGATCTTTGCTTGGCTCCAGTGTCATTGGGAACACACTGCGTTACTAAGATGCATATATATATATATATATATATATATATATATATATATATATATATATATATATATATTCGGCTGACGTGTCCCAATATAGAACTAAATGAACCTTGTGGACTTCATTACTAACATCCTTCTTATTTGTGTTTGGTCAGTTTTGAGTTGATTCTGTCTTATAATAATAATAATAATAATAATAATAATAATAATAATAAATGTCCTTCTCAATATTTTTTCAACTTATTAAGGGTGTTCTTCATGTCAATATGATATCTGGTCGTAATTTAAAAGCAGGTGACAAGAGTGTAATCGGACGTCATACCTCAGATCCATATTGTGTCATACGAGGTAACAATGAATGTTTTTTGCTGCTGTTGTTGTTCTTGTTCTTGTTTTATGAATATACTGCATGTTTTTCTCTTGTTTATTTCAATTAAAAATTTAATAATAATAATAATTATTATTATAGTTAGGAAAGGCTGCCTACTATCGCCTATGATTTTCTTGATTGCAGTAGATTGGATAATGCGACAAACAGTGGGCAATGAGGAAACAGGCATATAATGGACCCACACAAAAAAAAACTTGGAGGATCTGGACTTTGCCGACGATGATATATGTCTGATTTCCCACAAACTGGAAGATTTAAAAGTGAAAAGTAACAAATTGGAGATAGAAGAAGCATCGAAGATAGGACTTCACGTGAACATAGAGAAAACATAGATAGGTGATGAAGATTCCTGGCCAACACCCGCAACAGCAACTACAAGAGACAACAATCAGCCAGCATAAATGGGAGGAACCTGAAAGAAACAACCTCCATTACCTACCTGGTAAGCATCGTCTCAACTACAGGCGGAACTGACGAGGATATCGAAGCCAGAATCGGAAAAGCAAGACAAACTTTCACTACTCTTAAGTCTGTGTGGAGGTCAACAGCACTCAGCATCAAAAATATCATCCGGATTTTTAACTCCAATGTGAAGTCAGTGCTACTTCATAAATCAGAAACTTGGCGCGTCATAAAGAGCACTTCGAACAAACTACAGACCTTCATCAACAGCTATCTTCGCTCAATACCACTCAAGATCAGATGGCCGGTCAGAAAATATCAGCAACAGGGATCTCTGGGAGTGAACCAACCCAGAAGGAACCGATTGTGCAACAAATAGACAAGAAGAAATGGAGGTAGATTGGCCATACTCTTGGAAAACAAAGCATCAAGTGACATCACACGACATGCTCTCGTAAGGAACCCGAACGGGAAGTAGCGAGTTGGCCGTCCAAGAGTGACATGGAGGAGGTCATGTGAAGAGGAGATGAAAGCATGTGGGCAGGCGTGGAAACAGGTGAAAATGTTGGCAGAGAACCGAACGCAATGGAGACGTGTGGCTGAAGCCCTATGTTCCTCTAGGAATTAAAGGAAATAATATTAGTATAATGATTTGTTTTATTTCAAAATAGTACAGCATGGAATTCTCAGCATTTGGTACAATATTGTTGCATATAATTTATTCAACAAATAAAAAGGAACATCACAGGGTATAGGTGAACAAAATTGATAATAGCAACATCTTAGCGATGACAGTAACTATAATGTCAAAAGTGTACATAGAAGACGGGACAAGTAGAGAGTATCGTTGAGTTTTCGTATTTAGTTGTGTAGGCATATAATCGACTTCTAATCCCATGTGATGATGTGATGCAAGGGGAGAGTTGTGAATAGAGAGGGTGATAAGAGTCAGACGATGTGGACAGTATATATATACTGACAACCTATAGTACCCTTCGCACACACATGTGTCTGCCCAATACAAAATTATGCTCTACCGTGGTGTCTAAGTTCTCTTTCTTTATTACTTCTAAAGAAAGTATTTTTTATTTAATATTAATAAACTGTTATTCACAACACATACATTGGTTGATTTACCCAGCGTTTGTGAATCAAAAAGTTCGTGTAGAATTTCTTATTTTTAAATCAATTTTTAATTTTCCAGTTGATTGATTCGTCTGAAATGTTTCAACAGTGAATGAGGATTAACTCGAAATAATTTGGTAGATGGTGACTGGCGGTGGAATCCAGCATGCACATGTCGTCCTATTTTGGGACTCGTCATCTGAATGTATGTGCATCTCTCAGTGAGTGTGGGGGGAATTAGCTGATGAGACCCGAATAGGACGAAATGTGCATCCTGCGCATTCCACTGCTAGTCACTATCCACAAAATTACTTTAGGTTATTTTTAAAAATGCCGAATTAGGGTGAAATTCACTTTTTCATCAAGACTGTTTGCTCTCCATAAACGAATTTGGACAACCATCCAGTACCTCATTGATGATGACCAGTCTCAAGAAATGTTTTTTGAGTTTTCGTGAATAAAAGCCATCTCTCAAGAGGTATCAAATAATTTTAGTAGGAGTTAAGTAACCTAACAGTGTCATTGATTCGAAGTTCAGCTTTATCGTGAATCCATAAAAGTCGGAAATCGTTGGTTATTCAATAAGAACTCAACAGCCGAAGGATAATATCATATCATACCCTCTTGGACGTGTACTACTCGCCCTGTCCTGAACTAAGACTAAATAGACGTTCTATGCTCCTGTAGATAAGATTGGCTTATGATGACATCTATCTCACTCTAGTAAGCATGAAAATTATAATCTATTCAAAAAATTATTTTTTCCTCGCTTCAATTTCCAGTTGGTGCTAGATCATTTAATACATCAGTGGTCAAAGAAACTTTGGAGCCTGTTTGGAATCAACATTTTGAGGTAAATTAGTTTGATCTACATACTGCTGTGAAGTTTTTATTTTTTATTTTTTGTTTTTGTTTTATAAACTAATCAGCACTGATCGACTCATCTTTATGGTATCCTATTGAATCCTTGTTAGTGTGCGCCTACGATTCGGTTGGAATTCATGAGCAATTGATGATTCCCTTACAATGTCTTGTTCTACTCAAATTCTGATGTTATGCAGCATTGGTGTGTTGAAGAAAGATTCAAAAACGAAGTGTACAGTATAGAAGGGGTTTGTAGTTTCAGGAATTTACACTACACAGTATTTATCCAAGTGCACAGGAAACACTCTTCAGTGAAGTGAAATACTGACTGGATTGTTTAAGTATCGTGTAACTTTGTAGTTCATTTGATGTTTGTGGTAATCAGTTGAAACCTTTACATATGTGTATGAGTCTTGTACTTGTAATTAATATGCGATAGGAAAAGTATCCCTTCAGGGATTGGAATTGATACTATCTAACTCTTCATTTAGTAGCGTTGCAACTGAGGAGTTCTCCACTATGAATCAACACCATTTAGACAGATCTTTGAAAACCAGAGGGCATTGGACGATTTTAATCTGAATATATCGATCATCAGCTCACTGATGACTGCTACTGGATAGATTTCCTTAAGCTGCTGCAGTGGGAATTCGTAACCACTGGAATTCACCCTGTCACGGTGAAGTGGATGTTCATCAAATGCACTAGTGAGGGCAGCGCAATATCATGATTTGACCTCATTGAATTACGACCTAAGTGATTGATTGGTCAACAACCGTGGTCTCGTAACCTGAAAGTCCCAGATTTGTGGGTGTGCGCTGATGAAGAGTTTCAGAAAAGGACAAAACAGCTACCTAGTGCTCTCATCTGGTTTTCATTGATCTCTGTAAGTGGTGTCGATTCGTGACAAAATAAATAAGGAATATGTTTTATGCCATTCATCTGTTTTCGATTCCCTGAACTCATCATCTCACTGCAACACACCTGCCTATCTCAATCAATTCTAAGCTGATAAAAACGAAACATGAGTGTGTTATTTTATTGTCATCAATAAGACTCTGCTTGTAGCTTATTAATCCGACGTGGTTGGGTAAAGGAGTAGTCGTAAAGTCAATCAAAAGTCCCATACTGCCCCACACCTACCACATGGATTGACTAAAATTCAGGTTTTTCAGTTCTACTACTAGGTAGTGTCATGTCAACTCCGTAGGTTGGTCCGTCTTAAATTGTAAGGTCTATCTGAGGCAGTTAACATAATAAGAAATTTTCAACCCAATCTATGTGTTCAGAAAAAGTTTGTTCACCCTCTTTGCCTCCCTTGTCCTTCACCTCAACTTAGAATAGATATCTCTCCGGGTGACACCGGATAATTGTAAATATTATCTTATTATTTTATTTGTAATGCTAACTGTATTATCAATACCATACTGTATCGTGCTGTAGTTGTACATTTTAATCTCGGTTTCAGAAATTATTATTATATTCAGGACAAGATGATTTTGGGGAACAATTGTTTTTGATAAATTATTCCTCAAGCTCTACAGTTATAAATCCATGAATATTATTAAAATACAAATATTAGTTTGTTTATTGGATGTATCACACACTGAAACAGTATCATTTACTGGGTAACGTTTTGAACAAAATTTATTGTGGTTCATAATCATATCAATTATAATCACGCTACTTCGAAACTTGAGTTTTATAGTTTTCGTTGTTCTCTCCTATTTGTCGTCATTGGGGTAGGAGAATTTTCCAGATATCCGACTGGACAGGTGTTGAATCATTCCTATTACATGTATTTGCAGTTGATTCGATAAACAAAGCTTCCGTTGTTATCAATCTCTCCCTCCACCCTGCTGTTACATTAGATTTTGAAACTGTCATCCTATCCCACCCAGCCTATTGTATGGTTGTGTGTAATTGCATGTGATGTAGTGCTATATAGCTGAACTATCCTTTAGATTTCTTATCTTATTCGGGTCAACCAATCTAGATTTTGCTAGGTTTTTATGTTCAGCTAGTCTGACTGACTTCCCCTGTTCTACTACTTTGACCTATGTATTTGACCTGACGATCACTGCAGGCAGGGTATTAGATAAGTCAAATTGTTTTGTTTTAAAGGCTCCACAGGATTGATCCTTTAACCGACAAAGTTTGTTTCTAAATGAGTTTGTGGTTGGTTTGAATTCCAGCCACTTTTATTCCTGCCTGCCTTGTTAAGAATTCTGCGTACGGTAGTTTCCGAGGCTCCATCCTTGTATGGAATTACTACTGATGATTTAGATTCCTTATTGTTGGTGTCGTCATTATTATTATTACTATTATCACTACCATGATCATGGGGAGTTAACCACTAGTGTGAACTAGTTGAACAGGAATAAAAAGGCATAGTATAACACGAAAATATGACTGATTATTTCACTGGTGTCCTTATAGTAGGCCAGAGTAAAAACAGAGGCTGAATGTGCTTCATTTGCACACATAATTCAGGTTTTTTCTCATTCATCTCTGTAGCCTCCACTAAAGGATGTAATCGTATACCTTTAGGTAGATTGTTCGGTAGTCGATAGACAACCGTAGATGACTCATTATATTATCTAATTGCTATGTGACAATAGTTGTGTCCCCCCTCAACAATGGCGTCTTAGGAGTGCGAACTCTCCAATGACCTTGAATACATGCTAGTTGTTGACTAACTGAAGGCACCTGTCATTATCATAGCTGAGGTATCAACTCTATTGACTGGCTAAGCAGCAAATTTCACCCATATCACGTTTTTAAATACTGTTTCGATAATGTGTTAATAGCTCAGTAGGGTTAGGGTTATGATCAGGGTCATAATTAGCATTAGGGTTAGGTTTACGGTTAGGATAAGGATTGTAATTTGGGTTAGGGTTACAATTAGGGATAGATTTATAGTTGATGTCATTTATTTTAATTTGTTTTACTATCCACATTTTCCTGGTAAGTAGTCATCGATCCTCGTACTGGAAACCATAGTAATTCAACAGAGGACTTTTAGGGAAGACTGCACAACAGGATGAAAGAGGTAAACAATTCACAAAAACAGCTCATCTTCAGTTACCTAGGTGAATACATGTACAGAAACTAGTCTATTTAGCAACTGATACTCCTCATTATAACTGAGAAGTATTTTTAAGTAATGGCAGAGAAAGATACCCTGTTCATTGTGTTTCCATGCATTTTATTTTTGTAAATATACGTCATTTTTTGTGCAAAAGTCACTTATTTTTATGATTGGTCGGTTGAAATTCACTCGTGCATTCCCATCCCTTGGGACACTATCGTTGAACTTTGCCCTATAGTGTACATATTTTACCTCTACACTCAACATTGGAAACAATTATTTCCCGATACAAATTTAAAACATGCAATAAAGTTAATAAAGCAGGATTTAATGAATTCATCAAATTTCGGTAGAACTCTTGAGATGAATACTCTACATACGGGGATATACATACTATTTAAAATACATTAGGAGATATAAGACTGATATGCAAATAAATTACATTGAATTAATCACACAGAAAGACACGTGCTAACGTTTTCCAGGTCATGTTCAAATAGATAAGGGGAAGGGAGTATGAGAGATTAAAATTACGATAAAATGCATTACGCTTCAGTTGCATCACGTATATAAACGATTAGTCAAGAATTGCGAAATGAGTAATATTGATAGTAACAGTTATATTAATAATAATGCTTTTGATAAAAGATGGTTTTAAATGAGTCAAGAATAATAATAAGAGATAGAATAAACTGTTAATAATATTAATAATTATAACAGTTAGTAGATTCAAAGTGACGACCATCTCCTTTTGTACACACAGACCTGGTTTATAAACTCGAATTGTATAAGCCTCCTCCGCCACTGCAAGCATCTTCCTGTTTGTTTGTCTGCTGACAATAGTGAATCACGTGACAGCGTCGATATCATGTCCATAGTCCACAAGATGTTTTTTGTTATTGGGGTTTTTGGCACTTATCACTCAGCTGTTTTCAACCATTTTGGTAAATGCTCCATCATGCGAGTAGACAATCGCCTTTCTGTACGACCTATGTATTTGCTTCCACAAACACATTCGGTGGCACAGTGGTTAGGACTCTCGCCGACAATGCACATGATCCGAGGTTCGATCCCCTGCCGACTCACACCTGATATCTATGGTCGGCCTGCAAAATTTGGGCTACCGATATCACATGCTGAAAATTCCATACTTGTACCAAAAATACAGTGTGGAACCAAGCTGTAATCAAAAATAAAAATAAAAAACAAATTGATATACGCAGTTCGAAGTGTCGAGGATTGCCGATTACTGGTCTTTCCCAGATTTTTGAAGCACTCGCTTGTTGGTGTTAAGGAAGACAAGTTTTGCAACATATGTGGACAGTTCAGCTGAACAGTCCTACTGAAACTTGATGGATTCATTAAATCCTGCTTTATTAACCTTTGTTGCTTGTTTTACACTCCCCATCACCTAGACTATATAAAGGCTTGAATGAATTTATCCTTATTATTACCTCAATTATTAACAATTTATTCATATCCCTGAACTCTGATCCTTGATATTTTATTAACCACATTAATTCAAACGCCAATGACTTCTAATATTTCATTATGTAAATGTAAAGCTTGATGAGAATTTACCGAAAAATATGTATTCGCTTGCTTAAATCGTCTTCTATATTTGAAAAATGTCCAATAGTTAGTACACATGAGTCATTCCTTATATTGATTAATTGATTGATTGATATCTTGGTCGATTAGTTCTTTGAACTGATGAATGAGAATAGCGATAATTACAGTCACGAAATATATATATATATATATCTGATTACTGAAGCATTCAGTTCATTCCTCAAGTTTTGAAGACGGAATGTTTGATTCAATGGACTGATTATGCAATGTGAAATCAATCAATAATGTTTATTTGTACATAAACACACTGACACACACACACGTGA